TTTGTTCTTCGTATAGAATGTTGTTATCAGTACAGTGTTGGTATATTTTGTTTGTAATGCATGATGTAAGGATTTTGTATATTGTAGGAAGGCATGTAATTGGTCTATATTTAGATGGGTCTTGTGTATTGTTGTCTTTTGGGAGCATGTAAGTGATACCTTGTGTAAAGAATGCAGGAGTGCGATCTGGTGAATTAAGAAGTTCAGTAAATTGTTGCGCAAGGTAAGAGTGAGTGTAGGTAAAATATTTCCACCAAAAGTTGTGAATGTTATCAATGCCTGGACTTTTCCAGTTATGTAAGTGATTAATAGTTTGAATGATGTCTGTTGTAGTGATGTTTGTGTTATTCATAGGAGTAATGTATTCAGTGCGTGTGGTTTCTGTGGTAATCCACGGGGCGTGTGGATTGTGTTTAATGTCTTTGGTCCATAAGTCAAACCAGTATTGCTGAAGTGAGTGTAGAGATGGTGGAATGAGTTTTTCATTAGTGCTGTTTTGTGTTAGTGATCTGTAAAATAGTTTTTCGTTATGTTTAAATTGTGTGTTATGGCGCTTTCTGTCTGCAGTTTCCCTATAGCGTTTTAAACGGTTTGTGTATATTGATAGTTTTTGTGTGAGTGTATCTCTATGTTCGTTATAGTTTGTATTTTGTTCTCGTGTGGTGTGATTGTTTAGTTTTGTAGTTATGTGTTGTACTTGTCGTGTTAATTTTGAAGAACGAGTTCCTTGTATGTATTGTGTAATTCGACCCAAGTCACGTCTGATGTCATCGATGCGATTAATCAGGCGTTTTTCCCAAGCCGGGGGTGAGCGCTTTTTTGTTGTGTGGTGTTCTTTGTTTGTTGTTATTCTTGAACCGTTACATCTAGAAACTGCAACCGCACCGCAATACACAACAAAGTGTAGTTGATGTAAGCTTGTGTTATCGTTAATGTAATTTGGTAAAATGTGATCATTTAGTGTTTTTGAAAGTGTGCGTAATTTTGTAGTGTGACTTTGTTTAGGTATTCGTGCTCTTTGTGTTGGGTCAGTGTTTGAGAATTCTAACNTTTTATTCACAATCATATATGTAATATGTCAATTGCCAACTATTTTGAAGTTTGGAAGTGAGCAATTGTTTGACATCTTTTGCGAACCCCTTTTGAGGTCGGCAAAGTACTTCCCAACCTGCACGCCAATGCCGACTTGATTTCAGTATTAAGCTCACGCTGGTGTTTTGTGATTGCGATTGATTTTCAAATAGATTGCTCTTGAGGTAGTCTCCATTCGTACTTCTGCGTTTATTTGGATGACAATTTAAATAAAACGACAACAAACTACTTTTTATTTTGATAATAACTATACACATTTTACTGAACCGCATAAATTCAAGTTTAGCAACTAATTCGCTCAATGTTTTTCATTGTCGTTGGTGGAATTAGAGTAATGAAAATGAAAATTAAATGTTGCCTGATCATCATAGCCTCTAATATTTAAGGACAAACCTTGCTGCAATTTCTGATTAGAAAATTGAAATTCTTGATTTGAAGCGTAAGACACAGTTTTCTTAGGACTTTTAGTGTTTGTTAACATTGTAACTGGATTTGTAGCATTTACAGTTAAAACGTTTTCTTCTGTGTTTTCTGATGCAGTTGATGGATCAATATGGGAGTATGAAGTGCTGTTGCAAGGAATTGGAATCGAATTGTTGGTGGACAACATATCAGCGATTTTCACTTGACCATCTAAAGAGCTGTCAACATAACCTTCAGCCACAGTATACTTGATTTCCATCCGCCCAATCTCTTTAGTTGCAGAACATCTCCTCCAGAATTAGCCAACAAGGTTGCGGCTGTTCTGCGAAAACAGTGTCCAGTGAAACCCTTTGGATCTTCCAATTGCAAATAGGTAGCAATTAATTGGGGAAATTTGGCTATTGAGTTATGGCCATAGGGTTGATTGACTACTTTCCCAAGCCGTACTTGAAAGAAAAACCTTTCACTATTCACGTGTTTCCTTAAATTTATATATTATTTAACAATGTCGATCCAACTAGCATTCATGATTACAAATGCTCGAGATTTGTATGTTTTAGTATCAGGTATGGCAACAACGATCTTATCAGAAATGCTAATATCGGATATTTTCAGCTTAAACAATTCATCGCTTCTACAGGCACCAGAAACGCCAATGATTAATGTAACCTAAAATATTATACGCATAGAAGTAAAAATGCAAGATATTAACCGTCAGTTATGCTTACCTTCTGGGCCAGGAAGTCATTTGCAGCATTTTTTAAAAAGTCATCGATATTTTGTTTTGTAAAAACACATGACTTTTTTGGGACATAGCCAACATTTTTCCTTTTCAAGTATGCTATCAATTTAGCGAACTTCGAGATGTCAACTTGATGTTTAATGTTAAGAGTACTTTTCAACATGGAATATGTTGACCATAATGTACTAGGTTTTTTACTTTCCCCAACTTCACTAAAGTAAGCCAATACCACGTTTTCGGAATAAAAATTCTTTGCTCCTTTTTGAGCGCACCAATTCTTGTAACTGACATATGTTTTTTCATATCTGGACTTACTCTTTATCGGCAACAAATTACTTGACAATTTTGCGGCAGCCGCTCTAAGTTCAGGTGGGGTGCTTTCCAAAACACTACAATCACTATCTGATGACATTTTTATTTAAAATAATGCACCGCCTGCACAAAAGGGAACTGAAAATGTCAACAGTTTTTCAATTTTTTATATGCAAAGCCTACCATTAAAATTATGGAAGAAGTGAAGTGTATCCTAATCCAATTAAATATGGAATTTGTTATATTACAAGGTAGATTGTGAATAAAATAGTATACATACACTCGGTGGACGTTTTTCATTCCAGTCTTGCGCCTGTTGTTGACCTCGACGCTTCGCGTCTCGGTCAACAATCTGGCGCTCGACAGTAATGAAACACTTCCCACCTCGGTATGTAATATACTATTGTTCAATCCTATATTAAATCTCAACAACTTGATTATGATTCTTTTTTGACTTCGAACGCCTAAAGTAAGTGGTTCCCTGATCATTCTCCCCTCTAGTGTTGTATTTATATGGGCGATGTCAATGCAAAAGGGTATCTGAAGGAACTGCAAAGGAAGCAGATCAGCGTAAAGATGAAAATTTAAGCTTTTTAAAACTCGATTCATTTAAGAAAGCAAAATCAGTAAATACATTCTAGTACAGAGGGACCCTTTGTAATTCTCAAGGCAATTTAAAAGTACAAATTTCTTGCGTAAGAATGTTGCGTTTATAACCTAAAAATTATCGTCAGGTACGTACTAGGCATTTCGACAACCGTTTACTGTGTGTGTTTTCTTTATCTTATAGGTACCTATTATAGGTACTAATTAGTGGAAAACAAAAACATTTTTTGTTGAAGTTTGAAGATCTAGTTTCAGTTACATTGCACCCTCGCCAGTGTCGCTATTACAACATTTTGCTCAAAGATGTTCAGTAAATGATAGTGTTTTTATTTCAAAACAACATTTGGCAATGCGATTAGTGTTGATTATTCGCGGAGTTAATTTAAATAATTATCAAGAAATTTAGAAACATCAGAACCCTAAAAAAAATTTTGTACTTAATTGTCGGAACACATTTCCGAGTTTATCAAGAAGTCTACTGTGTGAAGTAAAATTATACGCCGATAGATAAAGATCTATATTTATCTAACAAATAGTAATGATCATCCACAGGTCATGGGTCGTACATTCATTAAAAGGAGCTGTGTCGAAATGTGTTACGCACTTTACGTACCTAGTAAGTAATTTACAATCAGAAGCAGCGATTGAAAATCGTTTTCACTAAAAACAATTTGTTTATTAGATTTGGTTCACTTTCGAGAAACCTAAAGTTCGTATCAGTTGACCTGTCGAGTAAAATTGTGAAATGATTACATTGTCTATACCTACAGGGTGTTCATTTGAAAACTTCTCACCACGGATTTATCGAACAACACTGATTACTTACTTTTACCCAAAACCGTCATGAATCCTTTATTTTCATGCCTGATTTATGTCAAGAAAATAGTTCCCATGCCGCAGGCAGACCAGACTACTTTTCCTTCCGCCTGTCAAATTACCGGCCGCTCCTGTCACTTTTCCTGTCGCACCTGTCACATTGCTAAGTGTCTATAATGACACCTCTCATCATTGACAGATTGGCATAAATCAAAAGTTCCGTATGAAAATTGAAATTTGATATTAAAATACGGTTTTGGGTAAAATTTAATATAAAACTCGTCAGTAAAATGACATTAATTGACTCGGAAATTAAAGTGCCTTGTACTTCAATCTTTGCTCGCCAGTAATGTGTCATTTTCTTGACTTGTATGTAAATAACTATATGATGACCTCATATCACGTCATAAGACTGTAATAGTGCGTATTACTGTACAGGTGAGTAGAAAAATTGCGCAAGATATCGCGAACCTGTAACACGCAAAACCAAATTTCGTACCATATACTTTTTCTACGATCTCCGTGAATTTCGAAATGAAAATAAGGCAAAAACCAAAAACAACGTCTGTTTACAGTTTTGACAGATGCAAATAATTATCACTTTCAAACGTAGGTAGGTACATGATCTATTCTAATTTTTCTTATTATGCACGGGTGTAGGTAATGGGTACTATATCATTGCCTCTAAATTATACGTTATGACTGCAGTTTCAGGGAGGTCGTAGAAAAATTTTTATAGAAAAAGTGGACACTACCAAGATTTTTTAAATCTCAGTTACTCTGCACCCTGCTCTGCACCAATCATATTGTGAAATACTACTTTTCCTTAATGACGTTAAATGCACTATTCGTATCAGATCTCATTTTTTTCAATATTTAGGGCAGAGGTCATTTCGCTCTTAATTTGTAGTTGTGAACAGTTTAAAAATGGTCTCGTATGCGTCTGATACGTTGTTTTTAGTTGGGAAAAATACTCCACACATCCCATGACCTGAATCTCAAGCTAATAACCAAAGACTACTACTCTTCCACGATTACAATTGCACAATTGCTTAAATGCATAGATAATTTAATGGAAAAAGAGGTGCAAACATGATTCGTATCAGTTGACCTATTGAGGTGATGGCATTGATGTAACTTTGTTGGTGTGCTATATAAAACTTGCCCCTCACATTCACTGGTTTTGCGATGCAGTCGCTTACTTTGATTTTCCTCTTCTTGGGTAAGTTGAAAATAACTAAAAACATTCTGGAACATTAACTGGACTGTAGGGGGAGTCGTGTGCAATGTAAAATGTGAGAAGAAAGGCGTTACACTGCAAGCCAGTTTAGACGATTTACTTGAAAACAAATGTAAGAAAGCTGGTATTGATGATCACGTTACAGGTTTTTACGTATGTATCATTTTTGCAATCAGATATTACTAAACATGACTTCAGGAAACTTTGTTGCCAACCTTAGAATGTTTGGATAAGCAGAATGTGTCAAAAACTTCTGCTATGGACCCCACTCTCACTGACGTGTTTTGTCAGGGTTTAAACAAAAATGTTCGTGAATGCTTCAAGACTGTAATAGATAATGTGGAAAAGTGTCTGGATGACGACGAAAAATATTTACCGAACTTGATATTTGAAGCGATTGACAACTTTTTGGACCTGATATGCGAAGAAAAATTCATAGAATGTAGGTAATCATACTTAAAGCTTTCCGTTTTTCAACTAAATCCCATTTCAGCATTAAACGAACTAAGCTTTAAGCAGTGCAAGAAGAATATTTCCAAAAATAATGCTCTAGATGTCTGCTTTGAAAACTTTATAATGAAATTGCTGATTTCTGGAGACGTGGTTGTTTTTAAAAAAGCTGAGTTGTGCAGGTGTGTACATTTTTTAAAGAATTTCTAGCTACAATGATTTTTTAGCGGGATACAAGATTTTTACGACTGCTATGAGGGTGTCATAAAAGTGATTTGTCCCAATGATGACAAAATAATGTTAACTCTTTTAAACAAATTTCATAAGGCCATTTTTTCCGCATGCCATAAAGAAGAAAAGTCCCATGAGTGAATTTGGTTCGTTTACAACTTTTGTGAGATGACTGTAAAGCAACAAGTTTTTGTTTTCAATCCATAGTTTCTTTTATTTCGTTTTTATATTTCCATTTTTAACGTGACAATTTATTATTTCGTCATATCATTCAAGTAGGTACCACATACATTACGAATATTAATAAAGCACCAAAAAATAAAGGTGTGGAATTGATCCGACTTCTACATACACAACAATCTTCAAAAATTTAACATAATCGAAAGAAAATTGCAAAAGAGATTCTTTAATTAGCATAGTTTTTGAGAAAAAAACCAAGCCCATACATCATAAAGCATTAACATAAAACAGCTGACTTAATGAATATAACAAAAGGAGACCAGACCAGACCGCGTTTGGAAAAATTAGCGCGTTTTAACATATTTACTGCTAAATTTAAATCGAAACTTCAAACGACAGCGCAAGTACGAGATACGTAAATAATTCTGCTAGAGCTGTGAAGAAAAAAACTTACTACCTATCCTTCTGAATCAGCTGAGGAAGCACAGCAAATAACATGTAATTAATTCTTCACACACATTCACCACAAAAATAATTGAATGGCAACTTGTCCAATATGACCAGGCTCAAAATTAGAAATCAGGATGACCTTATATGACCAAAATAGATTGTTGGATATTTATATGCTTTATTGGGTGGTGACACCTTATCGATTCCATTATCTTAACACCATTGTAAAAAGGAATTAATTACCAATTACTAAATATCGTATAGTATATAGAAGTATTACATTAATTATAATTACTTATACCGAATTGTTGAAAGCGACTCCAAAATATGCAAAACTTTTTGGAAGACATACTTGTCTGTTCAATACTGTTCAAAAATATTACGATAATAAGTGAAGAAGAAAGATAAATCACCATTTAAAATTGTGAAAATTTTTTGACATGTATCCCTTCCGTATAGGCAACTTATCATGCATAGCCATAGCTATAGAACAGTAAGAAATGTTTTTATGACTTTCCAAACTACTATGTGGAGTGACCTCACAAAATCTGTATATAACCAAAGAGATATAACCAAAGAGATATAACCAAAGAGATTATGGTTATTCTTTGATATAACTAATAAACAGTAATCAACCCAACGACTGTATATTTTTCCACATTTTTTTAATTTCCAACTTAGTCATCCGTATAGGAGTAGGTAGGTCAGTAATATAAAAAAAAACATCTCGTCATTGTGTCGAAATGCGTTACGCAGTTTACGTAAAAGTCGAATTCGCATTTACAATCAGAAGCAGTGATTGAAAATTTTTTTGACTAAAAATAACTTGTTTACTAAATTTGGTCCCAGTAGACTTTCGAGAAACAGACAAATATAGTTCGTATCACAGGTCATGTCGAGTGAATAGATTACATTGTCTATGTATATAAGCTCTTGCACCCAAAATGACAGTTTATCACAGTTTAAAATGAAATTGGTTACTTTGGCCATCTTCATACTTCTAGGCAAGGAAAATGATTACAGTCTTCACATTTTACTCAAAATGATACAGGAATAGTTAACGTAAAGGGTGACGAAGGTACAACTACCATTTGGGAGGATCTAGTCGAAAATAAATGTAAAAGGGCCGGTATTATCGACCCTATTAAGGGATTTTACGTAAGTAATACGGGTTTTGTCACATAAAACTCATAGTACCTTCCAGGGGACCCTATTCTCAACTTTTGAATGTTTGGAGGTTCAAAATATGACAGCACACTATACTGAAGTTGGTCCCACTGAAGCGGTGTGTGAAAGTTTCCCTAAAAATGTTCGCAGATGCCTTAAAGTCGTAGTAAACAACGTAGAAAAGTGCTTGGAGGCTGAAGAAAAATATTTACCTAAGTTTATATTTCAAGCGTTTGATAATTTTGTTGACTTAGTCTGTGTAGACAAATTTGTAGAATGTGAGACTTGCAAAATTTTCAATACCGTTTTCGTTAAACCTTGTTTTAGCATTGGATAAACCAAGCTTCGCTCAGTGCATAAATGATATTTCCCAAAGTAAGTTTATGGAAACTTGTACTGAAAATCGTTTATTTAAATCAGTGCTAGAAAAGAAAACTGTTTTCCCTCAGAAATCTGAATTGTGCAGGTATATAAGTCTTCCTCAAACATTTTGTACAATTACAATTTTCAGTGACCTAAAAGAGCTTCACGACTGCTATGAAAATGTTATGAAGCAGACATGCACCGGAGACACAGTTGCTAAAACTCTTCTAAACAAATTATACAAAGCTATTTCGCCTTCGTGCAATAAAGAAGAAGAAACCTCAGCTTGAACAATTGCTTCAAACTTATGTTATATCTGTAATTGTACAATGGCAAATAAAAAAAACAAATTCACACATTCAATGTAACGAAGCACCCGGAATTTCTGCATTGAGTTCGCCATTTACGAGGACCACCCTGTACAGTAACCATTGGTTTGGGCTTCGTTACATAGAAAACCGTAATTTCAAAAACTTTCCGCGGGGCCATGAAGACCAGGAGAGGCCGTAATTAATTAGTCCGCTTACGACCCTTACCTAAACCGCTACTGTTTGAATTTTGAAATTTTTTTGTAACCTCCGCAGGGTCTTTTCCTGGAGAAGATGAAGAACAATTAATATTTTTTGGTTTCAGCGCCGTTAATTGTTTATAGGCCGTTTTGGTTTCCCATAATTAGTAAAAGCAAGGATAGAACAAGTTCCGAAGCGAGTTGTTTTGCCCGTTAACAGTTGGCGACGTGCCTGCAAGAATGAGATAACCGCCAGCCGCCTTTGTGGCCGAAAACGTGTAATTAACATAAATTTAATTAATGTAAAGAGTTCATGAGTTTCCGTTTGGCCTTTTGAGTATATATAATTATACAGGAAAGGAGATTTTGGTGTCAAATTGTTCGCGCTTAATTAACGAATCGATTACCAGATGTTCGGGAATTTTAGCACGAACAGGAGCCGAGCAATTAATTAAAATTCGAATTGATTGGTTTCGATTTCGTATTGAATTCGCGACGGGTTGGATTTTCCCTGTTCCACTTCTACCACATTGGGTTTTCTTTATAAATAAATATTTTTCAAGAAAAATAAAATTTTACCTTTTCCATTGATCAAACCTCGTACACATATCCACGAAAAAAGAGCCTGAGTAATAGCAAATTAATAATTCTTCTGGAGCTGTGAAGCAAAAACTAAATATTACTTATTCCTTGGTAAAATCGGTTGAGAATCGGCTCAGAAAGTATAGGTTTCTCTATAAATGACATTTCATTCTATGTTACACAGAAATAAATTAAGTGGATACTTGTCCAATAAAAAATTCGCATTTCAAATATATTTAGATTCCAGTTCCGATAAACCAAGATTTTGAAACTCCGCTTCCGGATTCGGTTCCGATGTAACCACTTGTTTAACATGTCTACTGTACAGAGTTTTACAATGTGCAACTGAAAATGTTCACTAAACCAACACAAACTCATGTCCAGATAGATTAAACTCAAATACTAATAAATCCTTTTACATGAAAATTTTGATTACTTTAAAATTTTCCAAAGCAAGTCGGATACTATTACTTGAAAACCGTAGAGAAAGGCTGTACGTAAGCGATAACCGCATTTCAGATTAATTCGTTTTATAAAGATTAACTTTTATAACGACGTATTGTAAACTTTAAACGCTCTCTAAACTTTCTTCTACAAGAACTTTACGTCTATCAAAACTGACAGTCTTGCCAAAAAGCTCCGATTACGGTTAACTGCCAAGCACATAAAGCGCCCACCAAAAAAAGCTTCGCTTAACGTCCGTCTCTTCTATTTAAAACATCCTTCCCTTCTCCACCCTCCCCGCCTCTTGAACATCAGTGTTTACTTTCTTGCGCGTATCTACAAATTTAATTAGCTTTTACATAGTGACCTCGAATTCAAGTAATATGGTCGAAATTGTGTTCTATCTCAAATAACAACCACATTTAAACTTAAGGAAAATTGAAATTCTTATTATACAGGGTGACCCATAATTTCTGTGGATGCTGATTCTAAAGAAAACGTCCGGATGGTGTAGTTTGCACAATAATGCATATTTAACGTTTTATCTTAATTGTGTTTAAGTTAATTTATTATAACCATTGGTAATCAAGCTCAACATCAGAGACGTCGAGAGGTAAAAACCTGTATTAACTAATAAACAATAATGAACCCCACGACTGTACCTCACGTTATATACCAATGATATTTAATAACATTTTGCGCGATTCTGTTATTTGCTAACTTAGTTAGATCATCCGTACATAGTAGCAGAGTAGGTCACATTGAATATAACAAACATCTTATCACTGTGTCGAAATGCGTTAGGCAGTTTACGTAATAAGTAAAATATGTCAATTTACAATCAGAAGCAGCGATTGAAAATCAACTAAAAATAACTTGTTTCTTAGATCATTAAATAAAAACACTATAGTGTTTTTATTCAATGGTTAGATTTGGTTCACTTTCGAGAAACCTAAAATTCCTATCAGTTGACCTATCGAGTGTAATTGTGAAATGATTACATTGGCTATATAAGCTCCAGCTCCAAATTTTCTGTTTATAACAGTTTAAAATGAAATCGATTGCTTTGGCCATCTTCCTACTTCTAGGTAAGTAAACTGATTGTTGTCTTCATATTTTGCTCAAAATGATATAAGTAGGAATAGTTAACGTAAAGGGTGACGATGGTGATACAACTACCATTTGGGAGGATTTACTCGAAAACAAATGTAAAAAGGCCGGTATTGCCGACCCTCTTATGGGATTTTACGTGAGTAATACGGGTGTTATCCTAGAAAAGTCACAGTATCTTCTAGGAGACGCTATCCACAACTTTAGACTGTTTGGAAGTTCAAAATATGACATCTCACTATGCCAAGTTTGGTCCCACTGAAGCGGTGTGTGAAGGTTTCCCTAAAAATGTTCGCGGATGCTTTAAAGTCGCAGTAGACAACGTAGCAAAGTGCTTGGAGACCGAAGAAAAATATTTACCCAACTTCATATTTGAAGCGCTTGATAACTTTATTGACTTAATATGTGTAGACAAATTTGTAGAATGTGAGACTTTCAAAATTTTTTTAATTGTTTTCTCTAAACCTCGTTTCAGCATTGGATAAATCAAGCTTCACTCAGTGCATGAAAGATATTTCGCAAAGTAAGTTTATGGAAACTTGTAAAGAAAATCGTTTATTGAAATCACTGCCAGAGAAACATATTGTTATCCCTCAGAAATCTGAATTGTGCAGGTATGTACCTACGTCTTTCTCAAACATTTTGTACAATTACAATTTTCAGTGACCTAAAAGAGTTTCACGACTGCTTCGAAGATAATTTGAAGCAGACATGCACCGGAGACAATATTGCTATAACCCTTTTAAATAAATTATACAAAGCTATTTCGCCTTCGTGCAATAAAGAAGAAGAAACCTCAACTTGAAGAAATTTGCTTGTGAAAAATAATAACTAAATAATAACTACTACGTTGTTATATAATTAATTAAGGGAAATAAGGAAAAACGAATTTACTCTAAACAAGCAAATAAATTTTTGTTAACTGCGCATTGAATTTAAAAAAGTGTCAATTAAAATTAAATATATCAATTACATTACCTCAAGTAATAAATGATTAACGAACGCAATAGACAAGCTTTCTAAGACAATTATTATAATCAGGGTTTGCCACCAAGAATGGGAAATCACAGGGCAGTAGGTATACGTTTTATTTACTCTTGTAGTATGCAACGGCACCTTTCTTTTAAGCCCCTTAATTGGAGGTCGTTATGCAAAGGGTTTGCATATAAAAGGGGCTTTGGAACATCATTCACACGGGAGCGATGAAAGATCATATATCAAGGGTTGGGTTTTGGGAAGTTTTGGCCTAAACTGCGATGTTCCGTCAGCAAAAGTCGATGAGATCAAATTTGTAAGGAAATTTATCTGCATTATATTATCACATGGTCCAGCTTTTAGAAGCTGTTGTCGTTTACCGAAAAACAAAGACCACTTATTCTCCAATGTTTCCCTGTTTTTTTGTAAGAGATTTTGTATTTTTGATATTTGAATTACGTCATTACTTTGCACCAGACACAGACCATGAAACTGTCAGCATTATATTTAATCACCGGAATGTGATATTATGCTTCCTATGCAAGGAGTCTTTTAATTTTTTCAGGCCATAAACCTATTTATTTTATTATTTTAACGCCTTACCTTTACCCAATTACAAATTTTATTTGAATTTAGCTGGCAATGAAAATTAAATAGGTACAGTGAGAAAATATAACTGATAATGCGTATAATTTCTAACGTTTTTGTTGGATTAGCGGTACACGTAGACCGTTTTAACACTGCTTTAGCAATTTTGTGTGGAATTTACGCAAACAAGGTCCTTTTGCGCAATTCACTAATGTGGGAGTGCTGTAAGTATAGTGTATTTGTGAGAGAAAAGATCAATTCCATCCATACTACCATTGTATACCATTGTATATAAAGATGTATATTATGTACAGTGATATTTTTTTTTCGGGGCAAAAAAAAGGCAGTGTATAACCTTCCTTTTTTCCAAAAATCGACTGCACCAAAATTTCTCGGGAAAACACTTTTTCTTATTAATTTTGGAGCGTAGAATCCAAAACAATTCGTACTTTTTCGATCAGACTTCTCAATCAAAAGTTATAGACTAGAAACCAATTTCGAAAGAAAATTCAAAGGGCTGTAACTTTTGAACTAGTAGCCCAATCTTGGAACTGTTTGAAATTATGGATTCTACAGGCCACATTCTATAAGAAAATTTTTTTCCGGGTCGATCTGAGACAATTTTTTTTTCGGGGCTCAAAAAGGCAGTGTATAACCTTCCTTTTTTACCAAAAATCGACTGCACCAAAATTTCTCGGGAAAACACTTTTTCTTATTAATTTGGGTGCGTAGAATCCAAATCAATTCGTACTTTTTCGATCAGACTTCTCAATCAAAAGTTATAGACTAGAAACCAATTTCGAAAAAAAATTCAAAGGGCTGTAACTTTTGAACTAGTAGCCCAATCTTGGAACTGTTTGAAATTATGGATTCTACAGGCCACATTCTATAAGAAAATTTTTTTCCGGGTCGATCTGAGACAATTTTTTTTTGGGCCTCAAAAAAAGGCAGCTGGCGTAACTTCAATTTAGGGACTCGTCTTTCAAAAATATTTGGGGGCCCTTTCCTATATTCAGTTAATTTTTAAACCGATTGTTAATTCGTATATGTAGAAAATAGTTCATGGATGTAGCTTTGCTGATTTTGCATTTTGGAATTCATTTGTTCACAGGTCCATTGTAAAAATTTGCGTCACTGCGTTCAGTCAGATCCAGTTGATTTGTTTCGACTTTAATTTGTCAAGTTTTGGTGTAGTATTGTGTGCATAACAAAAGGTAATAATGCTTACTTAATTTTAATTCTAACTCTTCGTTTTATTGTTGCTTGTATTGATTTTGATATTGTTTTAATATTGGCCAGTTCCTTCGTGTTAAACTCGTTTAGTTGATTAGCGACTTCAATCTTTGGTGTATGAATCTGCCCTTTTTTTAATGTCTGTTACTCTGTGCAGAGTCAATGCTGGAGTGTTAAATTTACTTAGCGGCATTCATCTCGAATACAATTTCAGCCTAAGGTTACCATTATCCAAGAACCCAGATACCTCTTAGCATTGGAGAAGGTCCCGCTAATTAACAAGTATTTCATGTACTTTATGTAAGAGACTTTCGGGAATGTTATATTCCCAAATGGCAAGGAAGATTGTTCAACCTACATTTACCCTCCGTGAGCAATGATTCAGGAATTTTTCTTCGGGACATGTAACTGTAAACTGTAAAAGGAAGCATGCAGCTTCGTTTTTTTTTCAAAAATTTTTTCCAGAATTTTTTAATAACGAATTAAATTTTGTACATTTCCTTTGCCGGGGCCCCTTTTAAGTCGGGGCCGTCCTCTATGCGTACCTTGAGAGCATTGTAGTTACGCCACTGTGTATAACCTTCTTTTTTTGTCCAAAATATCTACTGCCCACAAAAATTTCTCGAGAAAAGCACTTTTTCTTATTAATTTTGGACGTAGAATCCAAAACAATTCGGTACTTTTCGATACAGACTTCTCAATCAAAGGTTATAGACTAGAAACCAATTTCGAAAGAAAAGGTCAAAGGTTTGAACTTTGATAACTAGCAGCCCCAATCTTGGAAACTGGTTTGAAATTACGGATTCTAACAGGCGGCCATATTCCTATAGGAAAATTCTCGCATCGCCCGTGATGTATTAGAAGCAATGTTACGCCGCTTATTATTCAGAACGTTTACGTTTACGGACACGAGCGAGGCTTGCGAGCGAGTGGAGCAAGATTATTTCGTGGTGAAGGGTTAATTTATGGACTATAGGTTATCACGGTTATCATTTCCATGTCTCCGATGGTTGCAAGGATTGCGAATCTGTGAATTTTTTGGTCTGAAAACCACCTGTACCAGATAAGATAAACGACGGGGGGAAAGCAACACATCCTTCTTGCGGTAACTTATAAATGAGGTAAATACATTCTGGAATATTTACGTTGCACTTAAGGGGAGATTCGTGTGAATGTAAAATTTGAGGAGAAGGCGTACACTGCAAGCTATTTTAGATTTGCTTGAAACAAATGTAAGAAGAAAATTCATCAGATCTACTCTTTTACTATTCTTTAAACTCTACTTATCATTTACGCTTACTGGCTTAGTTCATTAAAATTCTGCAAAGTGATCATGGGCAACAAACATGGCAACAGTACAATACTTCACCTTAAATTAGAGTTCAAATTGACAATTAATGGGTGGAGAGCACCATTTCACTTTCGTAGAAAAGACATTCACCGTTCTACGATCGGTAAGAATAGGACATACAGCAATAACACACAAAGGCATTTTATTAACAAAAGACCCCCCCCAGTGATGTGCCCAACTGTACAGACCTACCACTGTTGAACATATTATTATATGTATATGGTCCACTATATGCACCTTTACGTTCAAATACTCGAATATTTGATTAACCCTTACCTGATAAATAAGAAACAAAGAAAACATAAATAATCTTTCTACAGTACGCTAAAGGCTCGGAATCTCCTTTGGAGAAGCTGTAATAATGAACTCTGATGGCGCCAAAACCTCAGCAGTTAACGCGCCGTAATTCTATTAAAAAAAAGAGCATTTTTTTTTAATCTGTTTCGAGTACTTAACATACATTGTATGTTCCAATTACTGTTTCAAAAATATTACGATAATATGTGAAGAAGAAAGATAAATCAACATTTTTTTACATGTATCCCTAACCCTATATGCAAACTTATCATTGCATAGCTATATTCTATAGAACTCTAAGAAGACTTTCTTTATGACTTCAATGTCGACTCTTTCCAAACTACTATGTGGAGTTGACCTCAGAATTTCCAAAATTAAACTCCGGGAGGTAAAAATCTATATGCGTTTATAACTAATTAAAACAGTATCAACAACGACTGTATTTTATACCAGGCTTCGGGTCATGCCCATTTTGCTGCTGAAAATATATGTAACCTCAACTAGGAATAGATAGTTGGTTTTAACATTTTCACGTTTACAGGGCCGATCAGTGCGACTTTGTACCAAACATAGATGGCCACGGAGGTCAAATACAGTAAGGATATTGGACAATTGGACACAGATGAATGTAACCGTTACAATACTATGGATTGCACATTAAAATTACAGTTTTAATCTAATTGCCCTTACATTAATCAATAATGACATCGTAGATTGAGTTTAGGGGCAAGGCTATTAGTAAGGTTCGTTGATGCTTGTGGGAAAGGCCTACACCCTTTTTTCGCCTTAGCTTTCTCTAATAGTTTCTAATTTTGAGATACCAATCGTAAACTAATGGGGCCGGATATTTACCGTGACCCCAAACTTTAACCTTGCTATTGGTTAGGATTGTTAATAGAATCTTGAAATCTTATTGTTTTTGTAGCAATGTCTTTACAAGGTTAGGATTGAATGATTGGGAGTAGCGTTACCTAGTGTGTTTTTTTAATTGAGTAAGCGGTTTCCAGTAATTTCCCATTGGGATAAACAGTTGTTAATTTTAATTAGTAGATTTCTTAAAAAAAAGCGCAGCCGCAACCTTTCCAGTTTTTGAACCGTCCGGCAAAATTCAAGGTAGCTCGCGGACAATTCATTTGTTATATTTGCTTAAACAGTTGCCTTCATGTTTGAGCTATGCATTGAATTGGAGGATCTCAAATTTCTTGCATAAAGTCCAGAAAACTAAAGTTATGTGGAATTGGTGTGAATCTAAGGTTATTTGGCGTTTCCTTTAGTAAGGCTGCATGTGAGAGGAGGAGATGACAGTTTTGGCCCAGTTAGTCTGCAGTTTATGTTTCAAGAGGACTAGTAAAATTGGATATCTTGACGATTATGTGGTTTTAAATTGTTAGTTTTTTAAGTTTTGATTATGTAATTTCTCAAGCAAGGAACTGCCTCCGGATATTATTAAGGAAGGCTCGTTTGCTTCGACTTGCATTGCCTA